GTAATATAATTCTACAATAAACGATTATATGACCTGTATACTTGAAAAATTCATGTTACCTGTGTCTTATGATCCAGTAATTTTTGTGTGAGTTTACTAGAAACCGACAAAATTTCTTTGAACATTTCCTCAAAATTTCATGTGGTCAAAATGGCCAAATTTAAGGGATCCCTCTCCATGGCAACCTGGTGCGCGCGTGAGTCTTCCGACACTATATTTTCTAGATCCGTACCAAGACGCACGAACGAATTAACAATTTCACAAGATTTACAATAAATGCACTCGACACATTTAAGATCTTTAAAGTAACTATCAAAAAGTGTTTCCATATTTTCTTTTATAAATAAAAATGAAAACATTAAATTTTGTCTTTAAAATATTGAGGCTTATAATTGATAAAAGAGCTGTGTTGAGAATAGAAAAACAAGAATTACTTAAAAAAAATTTTAAATCAATATATACTGAAATGCAAAAGAAACGCAACAAGCAGTAATCTGCAAAAATTTGAATTTTTTACCTGATGATTTTCAAAAATGAATACAGTAAGGTTGAACTCGATTTAAAAACATAGGAGATTTGATAAAAGTTTAAATGATTACCTTTTAACTTTAGAAAGTAACTCATGACTGTTAAAATACCCCCACACCGGCCATTCAATAACAGCGTGCAAGACTGCCAAGCACAACAATTGCAGCTTGATTTCTACGGTGCAATAGGTTCATCAATCTCGAGATCTGAGCGAAAGAAATATTCTTTGTTATTTTTAAATGCCTGTTTTTAAGATGACGAGGTCGAATTTCCTCTAGCCTAGCACAGTGTAGTACCCTTGGACTTCTGGTCCAAGGACTTCATTCATGCTAATGATACGTAAGAGCCTTTTGAGGCGTGATGTATTGCATATTTGCATCTGCAACTCTCCATCACCTTTATTTTGAGATTTTCCAGCTAGAGCAATGGAAATGTGTACTTAAGTCATTTTCAGGAACCCTTGGCATAGCTTACGGAAAAGAAAGGATAATTTATTTTTCGGAATATTGCTGCATTACTAATGGTGAACAGATATAAACCATTAAAACCCTATATTATTGCTAAATGTTTTGTTAAACATGCAATTTTTGATTTCTATTAAGCGGACTCAAACTTAACTTCCGGTAATGGTATAAAAAAATCATTCAACCGTTAAATTACCGACATTTACAAAATTAATTTGAAGATATTCTTACTTTTTAGATACAAAATTATATCCTCAATATAATATTTCCCCTTAAAATAGGATGCTGCGTTTCATTTGCATTTCAGTATATGATTCCCTGATTTCTAGTTTGGAAAATAGACACAAAGGACATTATTACCAAATAAATCTATAAATAACAGGGTCTGTCTGTGTTTAAAACTTTATTTCTATGGTCAGGAGCTCATCACATTTGTTTTAAAGATCCAAGTTATATGATGAAAAGACTTCTGTTCATACTAATAAATATTTTTAAATCAATAATGATCTATTTGAATAATTTATTACTAAATCATTTACTGGTTTATTATTAAAATTTCTCTTTTTCAATTTTACTAATCGAGATGTATTTTCATCTTTTCTTTGAATTTTTTAAGAATGAAAAAAAAAATGAAAAAATTGTTATAAAATTCAAGTAATCCCACCTAAACTTCATTGAAAAAACGGAACACGTTGTGATGTTTCTTATGCTTCACATTTCTACTTTTAAGACCTGCATACTCTTGGTCAGGAGTGCAACAAAAATGTTAGAATTATTGCCGATCAAATATGAATAAATGTAAAGAAAAAAATCAATGAGTAAAATGTCTCTGGTTGAGCTCAGTTGCTTAGAGTGTTTGTCCTGTGAAGGAAAATATAGTATACTTTTATTTTCTAAATATATTTTTATGCCCCCGGATCGAAAAATCCCGGGGGTATATTGTTTTTGTCCTGTCTGTCTGTTTGTCTTTCTGTCTGTTGTCAACTTTAACCTAGCCCTTGCGCTGTCAAGGGTAAGGCTTTAATATTTGACATGAGTGTTCATTATGACAAGACCTTTCCATTGGTACTTAAATTTTTGATCATGTGACCTCAACTGTGACCTTTGACCTACATTTGAAAAACTTAAACACTGGCCATAACTATTGCACCGTAGTCTACGACCCACTCCAAAACTGTGTTACCATCGGGGGTATAGTGTTTCACAAACACATCTTGTTAGCTAGTTTTTTATAGGGCAAAAATTTAGGATCTAAGGCCAAGTTTTAATATTTTTTTATTTTTTAACTATAAGTTATTGGCCTATAAATATTGCCACTTGATGTTGTCAACACTTTATAAATTTTTGTGTACTATGGTTTTGATTTTATATTCTACTGCAGTCAGGAGTGCAAAAAAAACTTTTGTGATTATCAATGAATTTCATCCATCTTTTCTAACAAGACAAATTGCAGAAAATTTTTGATACTATTTGCCGTTCAAATCAATAAGTCCATCAACAAATTACAGATATTGTTTAAACATTTTACAGTCAATTCACAGAATAGTTTTCATTACTTATCATACACTTAAATTATGCAAGAAAATAATATTTTGAAGTCTAGAAAATATGAAAAACTTGCCGTAATGGTAAAAATATCGAAATGACAAACTGATTTACAAATTTGAATGAGTAATTGTGTCAAACGCCTTTCATATTAAAACTTTCAAACCAGAATTTAAAAGAAAATAACGTAAAATAACAATCAAGAAACAAATTTTTTTTTCACATAAATGTATACAATAGAAGAGAATCAAGGTTTATATCTAATCACTTATATCCCTGACACCATTTTGAAGCTTAAAAAAAATTATGATTTCTTTTCGTAATGAATTTTAGCAAGTCGCTTAGGATATTATAATATTTTCTTTTTTCAAACTAAAGTTTTACTAATAAAAAAATTTGAAAGTTTTTCATGCACTCGTTTATTCATGCAATTGCCAAGTCAGGAATTTTAACTAGATTGCATGTACGATATGAAGACATGAGTGAAAAATATGTTATGGTTAGTTGATTTTTTTCCAAAAAAGTTCAACTAAGCTGTCACTATTTTTGAATTTACCCTTATTGTTCATTATTCCATTATTCTACGGGGGTCATTATTTTTCTTCACACCGGCAGATGACTTTCCTATCTCTACCATTTTATTTATATAACTGTAGAAGATATTTGCAAAGATTCGGAAAGACTGAGCCCTACTTTGAATCTTTTCCATTCATTTAAAATAATAACTTGTGAGTGACCAGTAATCTGTAAATTATTTATTTGCCAGGTAAACAACACTGCCTAGCGATGAGAAAGGATTATAATTATCAATGGTGTGACGATTACTGTCATGAATTGCATGCTTACATCTGTGAAAAATCGTGAGTTAAATTTATGAGATTATTCCAGAATTAAAGGGGTTTACCGTCAAAAGGAATAAATAAGGAAATTATCTTTAATACCAATATAGTTTGAAAGATAAAAAGATTTCATTTTGAAGGTGTCATTGTGCAAATTTTCAAACAATAACTACTGTGCTCTTTAATTCAGTTGTTGCATTGATATCATACGTACATGTAAGAGATATTTGAAAATGTTTATTGAAAAGATCTATTACAAGAGATTTATGAGGCGCGGTTTTGGTATTTATGAATATTATATTGATATAATATTGATACCTATTCGAATAGGTGATATCACCTATTCCAACAAGTGATACCACTCATTCAAGCTATTCGAAACAAGAGGCCTAAAGGTCTTAACGGTCAGCTGAGCATAATTCAACACTGTAAAGGATCTAAAGACGTAAAATTGAAATAAAACCAAAACTGAAAGATGAAGGTATGTTTCCCAAAGGCAAGAGAAATAGGATGATCAGAAACGCAGCTAGGTTAAGGACGCCCATGAAATATACGCTTAACGTAGAACCTACGTCGTATGACGTCATATCAAGTAAATCAGTTTAGACCGTCTTTTTGATGCTGGATCCATTATGACGTCATAATTAATCTAATGTTACTTTTCCCGTACTTTCTCCAAGACTGTCTCATGTAATGAAGTTACACAACTGTGATAATGTGAATGACATGCAACTATTTTGAAGGAAATCAAAAATCCTAAGAAATCTAAATAGTACAATATCTTGATAAAAATGTCTCTGAGTCAAAGATCTGTTAAAAATTGTGTGCAAATTTGGTAATGTCTATCATGAAATGACGTGCATTCTCTTTCATAAACATGATAATTATTTGTTAATTATTCATAATGGTTGGTATATAATAATAATGTTTCCCTAAAATATCTTTTTGAATTAAAAAAAATTACATTTTTGATAAATATTTACATTGTAAATCTGAACGTTAGCCCAAAACAGTCATTAAATAATTAAATCCTGTGTTAGTGCAGAAAGGTCAACAAAAGTATTGATAAATAGAGTGTCTCTCATTCGTTTGTGGAGAAAGGTATATATTTTAATCACCTTTTGTAATTATTTGAGTATGTTCTTCATCATATTAAAGATTGAAAACATTCTGACAAAGACTTTTGAAAAATATTTACAAATTTAGGTGGTAAATTGACTCCGTTCCGGAAAATTTTTAGGTATTTGGTTTTGGTGTTTATGTTCAATATACTTCTTCCGCTCCACGAGTTTTTCATGTTATGAATTTTATCGATGGTGTTTTACAGACCCAACAGTGTATGTATTTTTGTTATTTCATTTTCACCATTATATAAGTGATAAATAGTGCATTTCTTTCAATATCTATGATGTATTTAATTTATGCATTTAAATATTTTGGTCATGAATGAATTCATTGCTTATCGGTAGTGTACTCCCTGACCTATGATACGTTTTTGCATGTGCTACATTGTATTGTTTATATTTTGTTGTAGCATCTACGGTTTATTCCTAGAGAATAAATTAAGTTTGCTAGCTGTCGTGTCCTCGACTTTTTGGGACAGCATAGTAGATGACTACCGGCCATGTCGACACCAAATCAACATGAGATACCCTCCGGGGAACAGACTCATGTTCAGCCAGGCACCCTGGGATCAGAACCGACAAGGACTTCAGAAAGAGTAAAAGTTCCGACACAAAAGGCACAAGAACAGTTAAAGGAAAATGTAAATAAGTTTAGAGAAAAACTTCTCCATATAGAGAAAAGAATTAGATCAGATATTGAAGAATCTACTACATGTTCAAAAGAATTAACAATACTGACCTCAATCCGCGATAAGATTGAGAGAAACTTTCAGGTTTATAAACAAGTATATAATGACAGTCAGGAATTTATGAACAGACATACTTACAGTGATAGTGAACGAATATTGATAGACAATAGCTGTAGACTAATTAGTGAAGATACAGAATCGTGTCTGACAAAACTCAGTGAGACTATAACATGTATAAGATCTATGGAAGAGGAGGCAAACACTCTTAGTGGTAGAGTGTCTTCAAGTACCAAATCACAACAGAGAGTAGAAGAAGCTAAAACGAGGCTAAAGACTGCAGAGAAGGTTGCCGAGCTAAGACGTCAGAAATCAAAATTACAATTTGAAGAACAATGCTGCAAAATTGAAACAAGAGCAGGAATGTTTAGACATGGAACTAGAATTGCTAAAACATCAAGAGGAAGTTCAGATAGCAGAAACAAGAGTGAAGTTCGAAATGGGTGATGAAGAAAGGAGTCACGTTGATCTAGGATTACCGAAAGTAGTAGGGTTTGAGAAATCTAAAACTTTTATAAAGAACTTACCTTTTAATCCTCAAGCAGAAAAGTTTGTTCCACAGTCAGATAATACTCTGCCTTCCGTGTCAACAACATGTGTTCCAGAAACTTTACAACAACCTTATACATGTAATCCACAACAAGTGCGACCAGCTATAAATCCACCACAACCCATACGGGCAGCTTATCCTAGATATCCTATGCAGCCGACATACCCACCCCAACCTATGCTACCTATGTATGCTCCTCATACTCCTCGGCCTATGCATCCTATGTTCTCGACATACACTCCACGACCAATGCAGCCTATGTATACACAGCCTATGCCCTCTAGTGCACAACCTGTGATATCGCAGCCTAGTTTTGAATCTGGGAATATACATTCTCAAAGTGACACTCAACCTCAACAGTTTTCATCTGTGCCGTCAACTGTCATTCCTACAACTACTAGTGCTACTGGTAATTTCATGAACAGTTACATGATGAAGAAAGACTTGATCTCACAAAGACTTCGAAAGTATGATGATGATCCTTCATCTTATAATCTCTGGAAAGGAAGCTTTAAGAGCATAGTGTCAGAAGCCACACTGAGTCCCCTTGAAGAGATAGACTTACTCTTAAGATGGTTGGGACCTGAATCAACAGTTCAAGCTACTAGAATTAGAAGAGCTAATCCTAGTGATACTGGTGCTGCACTTAACAAGATTTGGCAAAGGTTAGATGAACGATATGGATCACCTGAACTGATTGACTCGAAGTTACGATGTGAACTCATGAAATTTCCTGTCTTACAGTTACCAAAGGACAAAACATTGTTATACAGCCTCGTCGACCTCTTGGGGGAAATAGAATGTAACAAGAACAATCCTCAGTATTCACTGCTGTTGTCTTATTATGATACACCAGTCGGCATCAATCCTATTGTGTCTAAACTACCAGAAAACTTACAGAACAAATGGCGTGACAGAGCCGTGAAATTTAAAATAAAACATAACATTCCATTTCCACCATTCAAGGAATTAGTGAAATTTATTCATGAACTCAGTGTTTCCTTGAATGATCCAGGCTTTGTGTTTGATACTGCAGCTCTATACACAGGAAAGGATAAACCAAAATTCACCAAGAAACCAACCACTGTTGTATCAAAGAAAACTGATGTTCAAACAGGAAGTGATGGAAACCCTAAGAAAGGATCATGTCCTTTGCATCCCCATGCTATCTCACATTTCCTTGAAGAATGTCAACTCTTCATGAAGAAGTCAATGGAGGAACGTCGTAGATATGTGTTGGAAAATAAACTTTGTTTCAAGTGCTTAAGCACTAAATGTCACACGAAAAGACAATGTACAGAAAAAATCAAATGTAAAGAATGTGGAAGTAACAGTCATGTTACTGCAATGCACGTGAATTGTAAGAGGAAACTTCAAGACAGCTGCTCCCAGACAGCCCACGGCGGGGAGACTGGTTTCATAAACGTGGATTCAAAATGTAGAGCGATCTGTAATCAATTCAATGGACGCTCATGTGCAAAAACTGTTTTAGTACGAGTGTACCCAGAAGGACATCCAGAGTCATTTGTGACAGTGTATGCAATGATAGATGAACATTGTAACCGTACATTAGCCTCAACTGAATTAATGGATACCTTGGGTGTAAAAGGAAATGAACTGATGTATAATTTGTCTTCATGTTCTGGAAGGGAACATGTTCTTGGTCGCCAAGCCTATGGTTTCATAGTGGAGTCTCTAGACTCA